TTAATCCAAATTAGGTAGGACTTAGTGTTTGTACTAATCCATACCTAGTATGCCACCGTCTCATACCGGTGCATACAATCCTCCAGTTCCATAGTTAATAACACAGCATAAACATGTATCAACTAATTTCCAAAAGAAACATAAATATAGTTTAACATATTTACAACCAATTTATGCATCCAATATACCATTTAAATATCACATTACAGTGCTTTATATATATATGAAAAGACTGTACATGTAGTTCCTCCAGTTAATATAGTTGACGGAACAGTAATAAATACCAATCCACCATACTTCAAGATTTGCATATAAACAGTTTAACATGTGTACAACACATTAATCATCCTACATAAGGTTTAGAAATCTCTTTCCAGTCCCATTTTATTAAGTAAGACTGAAACCTACCACTCCTCCTGCACAACCATATCTGATGCAATAGTTGATAAATTTAAAACATCCATTAATTCCATTTAAGCATACTTAATCTTCTAGATATATAAACATATGCTTATAACATAGTTGAACATGCTTGATAAATTTAAACATGCAAAAGAACCCAAAACTTTGCTCAAAGCAGTAAACAGTTTACAAAGATTTCAAAGACAACTTCACATATGCAGTTTCTTCGTTTAACCTTAGGTTGCTTCAAGGTTCAACACCATACCATTAACAATACTTCCAACCATTTTTACATCTTTGGAACTATTATACAACCCAATTTTACCCACTGAAACAACCCAGTCATCTTCCCATAGGTTCAGAAACAACCCAAAATCACGCAGAAGCAAGAAAAGAAGCTGGAGCCGCCTCCCTTCTTGGTGGAGCTGGCTCCTCCCTTATTGGAGCCGGCTCTACCCTTGTGGAGCCGGCTCCAATCCCTTGTGGAGCCGGCTCTCACACCCCCTAGAGCCGGCTCCCTCCTTTGGTGAGCCGGCTCTCCTCCTTTGAGAGCCGTAATTCCTTCTCTGGTTGTCTTCCTCGCCTCCGGCTAAGTTCAAAACCTATTTAGTATTTTAAAACATTGTTCCAGTGTTTATACACTATCCTAGATTATATGAGAAACCCCCCAACATGCATCAATAATCCCAATTAACCAAGCTTGAACCCAAGACACAACATGCATCAGTTCACAGTTCTTTAAAAAATTTGCACAGTTTGATTCACGAGATTTATTTCCGTTTGAACATGCATACAAGATAAATTTAATCATTAATCTGTTTTTAATCTTGGTTTAATCCTTAGAGTCTTTCTAAGCCTGTACAGAACACAGATTAAAGAGATAGAGTGGAAACAGAACTTGCCTTCAGTTTCAGACTGTGGAACTGCAGACCTCTGTCAACTCTGGCAACGATGGTTGTCTTAACTCCCTCTGCTGCTCCTAATTCAATCCCTAACCTTCTCCTTGAATTCTTCCTTCAATCCCCAAAGGTTCTCTCTGAAACTCTCTACAACTCTCTGTTTTTCCCTCTCTGAAAACCTGATACGTGAATGCAGGTTGTGTGATGTTTGTTTGCTAAACCCTAAACCCACATGAAGAAATATATTTATAGGCTTAATTCTCCAACCCTAATCCGTATATAGCTAGAGCCCTAATGCAAACCCTTAGTCGGCCCATGCAATTGTCCAAGTTACAATACACGGCGACTTAATACAACCTAGGTCGGCTACAGTAACTCCAACCCTAACTGACATATACGTAAATCAACTTAATTATATAATACGTTTAAAATAACTTCCACAGAAATATAATCCTAATCTAAAATAAATTAACATTTAACTTAACCCAATTCAAAATAATCCAATAACAAAAACAATAATATTAATAAAAGAAAACAATTAATTCAAATAAAAGGACAAACAAGCAGATAATCAATTTTCAAACAAATAATCCAATAAAATGACACATAATAAAATAAAATGCAATTAAATACAATAATTAAATTCCAGAACTGTCCTTTTAAAATTAGGGGTATTACAGATCGTAACCGGATTATCGGATTTTTTGTTCAATCCATATCCGACTAATCGGATCGGATTCGGATCGGATCCGGATCAAGATCCGCTCCATTGACAGGTCTAATCGCGAGGTTGAATTTGGCACTTCAAGAAAGAGTGAGGAATCTGTACATAGAGATCCAGTTGTGGAGTGACTTAGCTAAGACGAATGAAGCCATAACTAACTCTCTCCGCAGCAATCTGGAACAGGTCCTGGCTCACGTTAGCAACAGCGGATGGCGGAGAGAAGGATGGCGTGAAGGATAAACCCACGTCTTTCGCCAAAAAATCTGACTCACATATCTCCTACCCCAAGCTACGCTCCACCGTAATCGGCGGCCCTGCCGGTTCCTTCGCGGCTGTACCTTTCCCTCCCTCCCCGACAACACCTCCGTCTTTATCTCCTCCACTCCCCGGTGACGTGGACATCAACCTCTCTCCCTCTCGGCGACGTGTGTATATATATATAAATGTCTATGTATATATATGTATATATATGTATCTATATATATATATATATATATATATATATATATATATATATATATATATATATAAATATAATGTGTTGCTAAGTGCATTTTAGTCCAATTTTTATAAATAGGATCTATTTGCATAAATGTCATAGTTTAGGGGTGTTTTTTACACTGGAATGGTGCAATATGCACTGTAAGCATACTATAAGGGTGTTTTTTTACACTTAACCCTATAGTTTATATATAACAATACTTATACCACCATAACCACCACCATAACATAAAAATAAAAAATAAAAAATAATATTATTATCTTTTTTGAAAAAATGAGATAACTGTACACTACTATTAACCACCACCACAACACCTAAACACCATAGTAGAAAAAAAAATTTAAAACAATTATGGCCAACCCACACTTATAACATAGTAAGAAAGATGGGAATATATGAGAGAGATCGGGAAGAGAGAGAGGAAGTGTCAGTGGCTAGGTACTAAAATGAACCAAAAAAAGAAAAAAAAAAAAAAAGAGTTAGAAATTAGGGTAAAGAAAAAAGGCTTAATGATGAAAGTAGTTTTATCAATTAATATGACTGATATTTTGTAAATTAATTAAATTAAATAATTAGGGGCAAATATGACATTTAAAACCATATGGGGTGTCATTGTTAAAATATCCGTTGACCCACATCTGAGTAACATTAATCGAAATCTCAGAAATGTTAATGCAATTTACCCTAATTAGTATTATTAAGGAAAATTTAAAAAATATATTACAAACTTCAAGTTCTACTAAAATAAAAAAATTCTCAAAAAACAATTCATAACAAATTAACTCAGTATTTTATAAATTAATTGACTCTTATGATAAAATATTAAAATTTTATGTATTTTTTGAAATTATAAATCAAGCAGACAACGACTTGACCCAAACAAAAATCACGAGAGAGAGTCAACATCACTTGTCAAAATGCATTGTCATGTTGTCTACCTAATATTGTCTTCCACTATTATATTTGATAGTATTTTCCTGCCTCAAAATAAAATAAAATAAAATAGAATAGAAGAAGGTAGCAATTGTACGAACTTTGCTGCCAGTTCATACACATTTTTCTTTGTTATTGAAGTAATACAATATTACAATTATACTAATTCTATAATGGTACCCATGTGAAGAGTATGTGGCTCCTGTTGGGAATTTGTCTTCCTCATTATGTGACATACGTAGCTCAAAAACGGAAGTGTCCCCAATCCTACCATTACCCCCAATGGGTCCCACTTCTAAATCTTGATTAATCAAATAACCATAATCATCCAAAGGTCTAGTTGTTGAGAGACAGAGAATGGATATATAACACATATATATTGCTATTTGGTTGTCAATTTGCCACAACTTAACTTGAGATGCATACATTAATTAAGATTTTTATTTTTTATTTTTATTTTAAGTTTAAGCAAATATATACTTACTAAATATTTTTACTTCCCACCAAGTCTGGAAAAGAAAGTTTATACCATCAAAAGACTAGAACTTATTAGAGTATCTCCAACCGTTGTGTATATTTTTTGTGTGTAAATCTGATGTGTCATGATGGATTTACACAAAAATTTTGAATTATTTAATTTTAGCTTCAACGGTTATTTTAGAACTTTTGTGTAAAAATATATTTCCCAATAATATCTAGTCATGTGTCATGCTAGGACCTTACATAATTTTTATTAACTTACTTAATATATAGTTGATTCTTTAATGGAATAAGAAATGAAATATGTTGATTTGGCGTTGTAAAAAGGTTGTGTAAAATACATAACCATTTTACACATTGGTGATGTGGCAATGTATCTTAACAGACTGTTAGAAATGAAAAAAATTTACACATAATATATATTTTATACAAAAATAATATTTTAACATACCGCTGAAGATACTCTTAGTTATATAAAATTAAGAGTTGATTCATCGTATTTTAGAACGTGACGTTTTATGTTTCAACAACTTTACCATTTAAGTGGTTCCGTATCTGCGTTATAATAATATTCGAACAGAGGTTCACATTATGAATAACCAAGAGTGCCCAACAACAGGATATATTATGATATATAAGTATGTATGTATATGTAAACTTTTGGTTAATGTAATGTAAGCATATATATATATATGCATCACTGAACGATTAAAGAATTCATAAATTTCCAGCCACAATGTACGAAAGAGGAGAAGACATATCCCTCTCAATCCGCTGAGGGATTCTTTTAGCAGCAATTGGAGCTCTCCCATATTCTTGCTTAGTTTTTGTCAGAAAAAAAAACACTAATTTCGAAATGGGGATTTATGAAAAGACACAGTAGTTGTAACTGAACACTAAGTACTACATAAATGTTCAGTTTTATACACGAAATACATAGTACATGCTTGCTCGTAAGGTTGTCAATGTGTTGGATCAAGATCCACTCGATCAAAATTTGTTTTAAAATCCAAATTTCAAAATTTGACATTAGGCAAATTCATCCCGATAAAGATCTGAATTCAACTAAAATATTATTTATAATATTCTTATTATTAATAATTAGAAAAGATTTGCCATATGGCATATCTACACTTAAATATATATGGGTTGGAAAAAGAGCATACATCTTCGATATACATGATGCAGGGTTCCCTCAGTACATGATAATCATGATCGACCCAGAATTCCATTCTACACACAAAGCTTGGAGCCTCTGGATCCTCTACTAAATAATATGTGCTCCTCTTCTGACTTGGTTTTGTCTCCGAAAACGGAAACCCAAGTTTCTGCAATCTTCGCCAATTTTCCATCCACAATCTCTACTAAAGTGAAGGCTCGCACTGTGCCTTCTGCCTTGGGTGTGAAAACTGGGCCTTCGTTGTTCGTGCAGCTTTTGCAGTTGGTTCCATGTTCATCACTCAACCTTCTAACTCTGGGAACAATAGCCCCATTTAGGTATATAGTCTTGTCAGCCCCAATCACAATCATTTTTCGAAGTCCATTTCCAAATGCCAGCTCTTTATGCATGTGGCCAAACACAACCAAAGGGATAGAGCATTTGGTTGTCCCTTTCAACTGGGAGATGGCATGTGTCAAGTCTGTACCAAAAATCACTTGTGTAAACATCATTATTCTGAAAGGTTTAAACAAATTGCATAAAAGAAGGATCATGTTTGTCTCCCTCCTGTAATGGACTAGTGGCCCTTAAGTCCAGAAGGTTACCAATCAACATGCCACAAGGCACAGCAGCATAGTGACATCATTCCAATGAAAAAGTGAATCACCCAAGCTAATTAATCAATGGAGCTTTTTCAGTGGAACCAACTACCATCCTTCCCTGATAGGGCTCACTGATAGGTAACCTATTGAAATGGGAGTTCAACCACATAGGGCATTACCTGGATCACCATGGTCACCACCTCCAGATACCCAGTCTTTTCCACATATATCATCTATACTAGAACCAAGACCTGCACAGATTTAACTGCATTTTAAAAAGGAATTTACCATTTTTCCTTTGAACACAAGCAGCTACGTTGAATTCTGTTTTGGGAAGACGGACACACCTGTGGGACCATTATGAGCAAGAAATATAACTGAATGATCCTCAGGGGCTCCTACAGCAGCTTCATATATTCTCTTTGCACTTCCATTCATGTCTTGGACTCCATATCTAAGAGGATATTCCAAATGAATTGCATCATAAGTCCCATAAACAAGAACATGAACAACATTGATGTCTGAGAATCTCATCCATGCTTTAAGGAAAAGTTTAGCTTGACTTTTGTCATAGCTGATATTATATGAGGAATTCAAGTATCCATCAAACATATGTAACAGTGCGAGAGTGCAGATTGAATCCATAAAGAACATCATTAAACTCGGACACTGATGATCTAATCTAATGTAGTAATAAACTGAAGGGATTTAAGAAAAGGAAAGAAGGAATAGTTACTGACAAAAAATGAAAGGAATCCAGGTCCACAACCTAATGAAATCTATGAGTCCTCGCCACGGTGCCAGTGTGCCACCACTTACTATCCAAGTGAGATCAAGCAGAAAATTAAAACTCATTCTAAGAGAACTTGCTTTAACATTACTAACCTCGCATCCAGAAGTCTTTTCCGAAACAACTGTTCACCCCCACAAGAAAATGGCCTTCCACCAACAATACTCAGCTTTAATGAAGGGAAGTCCAAACGCCGGTAACCTACATGCTCCTCACCAAGACTGACAACCACAAAACGCGATGTTATTTATCAGCACCTAAATTCTTGTCAGTTATGATAGTCAAGCATGTATTATAGTCAAGCATGTTTAATACTCTCAAGAAAGATGCACGTTTCCCCCCCCCCCCCCCCCCCTTCCCTTTTGTTATTAGTACAGATCCAAGTCCAGCAGTCATTCTTTCTTTTCTTCATTGGCAAGAAACTCACACACCCATTTGTCCCTATTGGGACTCGATCCCTCACCTTCCACTTCGGGAGGTAGAGAAGATACCACTAGGCTACACAGCCTTAGGAAAGTCCAGCACTTATTGAATCATTCCTATTCTGAAACGGGCAGCAATGAACATATAGTGGGAAGAAATAATTATGAATTGTCCAAGTAGGATTACTGACTGAGATGCCCTTAACCTGCCCTTCTTTTTGATATTTTTGTTTATTTCAATTTTTGTTAAAGTATGAAAACTCAATGGTAAAGTATGTAAACTTAATAATAAAAATTATGTACAATGAAGTATGATGCACAAAGAACTAACTGCATCGTCCTGTCTCACAGGATTATTCGAAGACATTTGACATAGTTTACCTTCCAGATACAATCTTCTCTAAATTATTTTCATGCCGAAACAATTTTCCATTATTTTCATCTCACAAAATGTTTAGTGTCACAGACCCAAGCCTAAGGGACTACTTCTTTACATCCTTAATAGTAGTACCAAAAGACCATTCCTAATTAGCTGTTGAACATCCTTATCTGCAGGTCATATTCTTCCAGCATGTTAGGGACTGATTACTTGCCTCATCCAACCATGGTTTTTTATCTTCTCTTCCTTGAGAATCAGCAAGACATAATTGTAGCTGTCCTCAACCTTCAGGGGACTTTTACAGGACTTTACATCAATTTTCTTTTGGTAAATTAGGACTTTACTCTTTATTCTAGAGTAATCCAGATTTTTCTGTACAATACTACTACTTTTCGAATTATTTACTCCATTTCCTTGCACTAGTCGTCTTTCTGGTTGGTATGCCAGTCTTTAGTTTGAAAAACGACTATGAATTTTCTAGTTTTTTTATAAAAAAAACACTAGACTAGCACACGAAAATCTTATCCCCAATTCCACCCTTGATATTCTATATGGCCTTCCTAAGCCATCATATTTTCAAAACGAAAAACTTTAACACCAGCAATAAAGAAGAAGAAGAAGAAGAAAAAAAAAAGAAGAAAGAAAAAAGAGGAGATTGCAGACATTGCCAAACACAAAGCAGCAACATAGAATAGTGGATACTTTTTCTTAGTCTAAATGGATATAATGAAGCCAGAAAAATTAAACACTTAGGCATTAGTAAATACTTATTAGGATGATACCACAAGAAATTAACCCTTTCATTTATTTATAAAGAAGAATGATGTTAGATATGCTCACCATTCCAGCTGAAGTTGGACGCGGTCCTTCTTCCTACAATTCAAATCAATGACATAATTACAAGAAGAAACATCGATAAGAAATTTAAAATTACATCTTTGGACTTTTCAACATAAACCTAACTACTACGAAAATATACTATAAACTAGAGGGAGAGATTGGTCTTAGAAATTGGTTCCACTTCATGACGACTTCATTCAAAACCTCTCAAAATCAAATTGAGTTTGACTTGAGCTGTACTTTATTCATTTATCATTTGATGATAAGGTTAAGGTTCAGTTTTATGCATTTTCATGTTTTACAATCAAGGCTATTTTTATAATATCAACGCTTACTAGGTATAAGATTTAGTAGAGACACATGATTCTAACTTGATGTTTTCAATTTTACTCATAATCCTCGTAGAATTGTACTCCTTAAAATTCAATAGAGAAGAAATTATTGAAGCTACCTCAGAACTGTGTGACGCATTTCTAATCCTAGAAATGATGACTAATAAGGGGTCATAAGAAAGAATTTTAAGATCCACTTTTACTTCCAGCTGCCTCTCTTTAAATTTCTGCTCTTTAGCATCCTTAAGAAGGCAAACAAACCTCGGAAAGACAGAAACCCCTCCTTACCCTTAATCCTATCTGACAAGCCCTAAAATTTCCCTCTTTCAATTAGCAAGTCCTGCACCCTAGAACTCTCACATCTAGCCTTTTCTGTTCATATGTTCGTTCATGCTCCCCTAAACTTTGCCTTTCTTACTCAACTTCAAAGTTTCAATTTTTGAGTCATAATCCTAGTGGGAGTATACTACTTAAAATTCAATAGAAGAAAAAAAAAACACTATTGAAGCTCCCCTAGAGTCGCATGATGCATGTCTAATTGTAGATGTGATGCCTAAAAGGGGGTAATAATCTAAATATTATAACTTCCATACTTGAATACAATTAAACTTACCTTTCGGCAAATTGTTGAGTACTCCAGGCATCATGATTTCCCAATATGACTGCTTTAGCAAATTTAAGATCAGCAATGCTTCTAACAAGGTCAACATTCTCATTACCAAAGTCACCTGGAGAAAGGCCACCAGATTACCAGAAATAAACCCACACACACAGGGAAAAAAAAGGCTTAAAGTACCTGAAGAACTAAAATAGTAACCGACAGAAAAGTAGAAGCAGACCAGCCATTGCATCAAGTGGATAAACAGCAAAGAGAAAAGGACATGCCTGTAAATAGCACCAAATCTGGCTGCATTTCCACATAAAACCATGTTAGATAGGTAGAAGAAAAATAAAGCAAAATATTGAGCAACACGGTGCTTGACATTCTAATGAAATTAAGCACTTCTACAGGAAGTGATTGGCATAAAGTTAGGTGAAGCTGTTACACTGTGTTGGTCCCACCAATGTAGGGTTCTAGGAGGGGTGGATAGGTAACCTCTGGCACAATTGGCATGGATTGGCTACCCTTAACTCGAGCTTGAGTTTTCTTGTTTGGCATAAAATTAGTCCGATAAACAAAAAAATGATAACTTATAAATAAACTATAATTCACACAACTTTATTGGAAAAGTAGAAAGAAAAGACCACTATGACATCCAATATCTATATTCAACATGAATATAGGTTTCCTAATTTCAATACTTGCATATTTACCAACATGTTACATAGCATTTCAAATTTTAGGGAAATTGCACTTGCCCCTGTAAACTGGATAATGCACTTCTATATAACTGGCTTTGCAAAGCAAGAGCACCACCATCCACAAATGACGGGAACATTTCATAATGCAGCCCCCGTACATGTCCCCTGAGTAAATGGCATCCATAATACAATTCAGTTCCGTCCTTTCTCTAGAGTGACTTAGTTTGGCTACCACCAAAATCTAATCCTCTTTTGTGCCACAATTATAATAACTTTTTTAAACATATAATTTTTTTTTAATCTTTGGATTTGTGAGAAGTCATTCAACAAAGATCTGTAATTTTATCCTCACATCTTCAAAGTGCAAACCACCTTTTTCCTTAATTGCCCAAGCATGGCGTAAGCACACAAATATTTACAACTCAATTTCCTTAATACCAAATCTCTTTGTGTTGCCTTGCTATCGTTTACTTAATTATTACCATGCCACTACTGTACTCAAACTCAGAATAATTCATTTACATCTATCAAAGAAATAATAGAAAAACATATCTATAATAATACTCAACAAAAAAAAAAAAATATTATTTTACTGGAGTATTAATTACTGGAGATCCAATTTTAACAACATACAAAAATGTAATACGACACGAGAAGAAGAGATTGATACCTGCAAAAATCGAAGAGCCTCTGTATCTTCTTGAAGATTCCAATCGTCATGCTTCAAATATCCGAAATTATTTACAACATTAGAAATATAAACGTTACGCAATTCATAAATAAATACAGTAAATGATCGCATACAGAAAAGTTACGCATATTTTAACCGAAAACTTGGTTGAAAAACGATTTCAGGTGAGATGACTTAGAGAGAGAACTCACAACGTCTCCAACGACTGCGATTCGAACATAGCTCGCCATTGACAAGCGATAAGTGAGCTTCGACGACGAAGGAGATGGAGATGGAAATAGAGATAGAGAGGGACCGAAGAGAGAACATAGAGTCGGCGCGTGCGATAACGTGCTGATGAACATAAATGATGATGGATATAATCCTGTGGACGAAGGTTCAGCAAATCGATACTGTGAACTTCACAGTTATGAAGCGCGGGTTAACGTCAATATTATGCGTGATCAGAGACACAAGTTTTGTTAACCGTAGATTTGAATAATTCTTAGATATGCGGGTCCCAATCATTTTTGTGTAAATAGATTCTTCTCAACTATGATCAGATCGTGAACACGAGACTGTTCGGATTTGGGTTAAACACGTGGTAATCGTGTTGACACGGATTCACCTGTTAACTAAATGTGTCATATTTGTGTTTGATTCGATAAATATAATTATGATATGATTAACTAAATGTATCATATTCGTGTAAAAAATGATTCATTTAACTAAACGTGTAGAATAAACATATCATATTCGTATAAAAAATAACTTAAATATGTCTTTTTGTGTCTTGTCAAGTCTTGACCCATTTATTAAACAGGTTACGTATGTCATGTCGTGTTACACATATAATAATCGTGTTACACATATAATAATCGTGTCGCGTTTGTATCAAGAGTCTTAAATAAGATTAATAATCGTGTTCATGATACACAAAAAATTACACTTTTTTACTCTACTGTTTTTAAATATTACAGATAGCTCATTTGGAAACGAAAATAAATTTTTTTCTAGACAGAGTAGTAGAAATTAAAGAGGAGAGAGAAAGGAAGAGACCTATTACAATAGTTAAGGATTAATTTTATCATTTGATTCATAAATAAATAAAAGTGGAGCGCATGTGTATAATTTTAGAGCCCAAATAACATCTCCCTTTTCTTAATATAAGAAATATCTTAATATAAGAAACATTAAGAAACAAAGAGAAAGTAACAAAACTTATCATTATTGAATCTAAACCCTAATATAATTCAACAATTTTAATTCAATTAAATTTTTAAATAATTAAAACAAAAAGTTACAATCTCTAACAATGAGCGAGTAATATTTTTAAGAATCTTAATTTACATAATTTTTTATAATTATATTTTAATTTGATAATTTTTTATTAGGGTTAAATTTTAAAGAGATACTCAACAAAAATAAATAATAACCTCATACGCTATGAAAAGAGTTGATGTTTTTTTAGCAAACATGCTCTAAACCCTGATGTTGCTAAACGTGTGTTTAGTTCAAAGTGTGCCTTTAGGGGATATACTTTATATGAGTTGTTGGCGTGTTAGGACCGTTTGGTTCAAATTTGTGGTTTACATCCCGACTATAGTTGAGCTAATTAACAAGAGCCAAACAAATATTTTTGGTGGTATTATAGTGGTGGGCAGTCCTTAATGAATGATTTATGTGACTTGCAGTTGTAGAGAATATGAATGACTCTTCACTTTGTTTCTAACTAAATGAGTCCCCTGTTTAGCAGAAGCAAAGGTCAATGGTTGCACCCAATGCGATGATGGCTTGGGGCCATACTTAACGTGACAACTTGATTTGATGGGAGTAGGAGGAAGTCCCCCTGTTATTGTAGGAGTGATGAGGTTCGCAGATGATGAAATATCGTTTGCCCTGGCATCTACCACTATTCTGCAGAGCCGTGGTCCTAGCATGGATTGATGGGACCAAATTCCCAATTTTGGTGTAAACAACATGCTTCCATAAAAGTTTCAACTATAGTCTAGTAGTGACTTGGTCCATTCAATACATCATGTTCATCAACTAACAAGGCATTATTTTTGTTTTGAAAATGATATGAATACCATCCACAAAATATTAAACGCAATACCATTTTTCTTTCTCAAATGGTTGACCAAGGCAATGCTAGCTGTAATTACTTGTTTGATAAGTAATCAAATCTGTAATTTGTATGCATCCTCTTTACCAAAGACAATTTCAAGCTAACATTGTTGAAATTAAAATCCTTAAATCAAATTTATTATATATATTATCCAATCTAGAAGCTCATGAATGGTTCCCACTGGATGTTCTTACACTATATAAAGTAGTACCAATATTATACATTATGCACCTCTAGTCTTCTTCAATAATGGCTTCCAAAACCTCTCTCTTCCTCTTAGTCTGTCTCCTATTTCTCCACAACCTTCCCTTCTCCGCCGCCCAAACTGTCGTCAAGGCTGCTTACTGGTTTCCCGAGAGTGGATTTGCTGCCTCTGATATAAATTCCACTCTTTTCACTCATCTTTTTTGTGCATTTGCCACTCTTTCCAACACCAATCGCACCACCATTCCTGCCTCAAATAATGCCTCTTTCGCTCAATTCACCAGAACGGTCCAACTCAAAAACCCTTCTGTTAAAACCCTTTTATCAATAGGTGGAGGGAGTGCTAATAAGACCATTTTTGCTTCAATGGCTAGCCAACCCAGCTCGCGTAAAACTTTTATTGATTCTTCAATCAAATTGGCAAGAGATTATGGGTTTTATGGGCTAGACCTTGATTGGGAGTACCCAGAAGTGGCCTCCCAAATGACCAATTTTGGGAGCCTCCTTGATGAGTGGCGGTCTGCGGTGTCTACTGAGGCAAACACCACCGGAAAGACACCACTGATTCTAACTGCAGCCGTATTTTATCGACCAAACTACTACGGTCCAAATTATCCTGTTCAATCTATAGCAAGGAGCTTGGATTGGATTAATCTAATGGCCTATGATTTCTACGGTCCAGGATGGTCTCCTTCGATGACCAATGCACCTGCTGCACTATACGACCCAACAGGTCAGCTTAGCGGTAGTTACGGGATTGGGGCATGGATTCAAGGTGGTGTGCCTGCTAAGAAGTTGGTACTCGGTCTACCATTTTACGGCTACGCATGGCGTCTTGTGAATGCTAATAACCATGGCCTTTTGGCACCGGCTAATGGATCAACCTCAGGTGATGGGTCAATGGGTTACAACCAAATCAAAGTGTTCATATCTCAGAACAACGCCGCAACTGTGTACAATGCCACTGTTGTTACAGATTATTGCTATGCTGGGACTACATGGATAGGGTATGATGATATACAGAGTATAACCGCCAAGGTTTCTTATGCTAAGCAACAAGCAATTCTTGGTTACTTCGCATGGCATGTTGGAGTTGATAACAACTGGGTTCTTTCACAAAAAGGTTTGTTTCTCTCCATTATTAAGCAGATTTTTATATGCATCTGTTATTGTGCATGTTTCTAGTTCGTCATTGTTCTAATCTTTTTTGGTTCATTTTTTTTTTTTTTTGCAGCTTACAATACGTGGGGAGCATAAAAACTCAATATTGCTGTCAATATGAGCAATAAATATATATAGGCGTGAGGATTAAGTGCAATAAAAGAAGCATGGTTCATAAACAGGTTATATGTAATACCGATTATGGATTCAAATAATATCAACTTCGTTGGTCAAAAATTCTCTTTTGTCCATTACAATTTACAGACCAAACAACAATTTGTGCGAACAGCTCAGCTCCATTCAAAAATGAAACGAAAATAATCAAATTGATATGTGAAATAGATTATACCAAAATTCTATCAGTTTCAAAACAAATCACCATTGATCAAGGAGATGTGAGGATTGTAGAGTCACAAACACAACTCCTTCACCCTTGTCTATATATAAATTGAGAAATCTTCTTTTTTAATTATTATTAAGAATGGGGAAGAAAAATCTAACATTGTAATGAGATAGAGATTCATTTGACGTTTCATTCTCAATTAATTATTGTTTCAGCTTTTGGGCCAAATAATGGATTTGTTTTGAAAGTGTTCTGGTACTGTTGAAAACAAAACAAGCCGGTCCAAACATGTTTTGTTCTCAAAATAGACTACTGTAGCGAAGCTGGAGCATTACAAAATACATGGGAACACTTCCCAAACAGGCCCTAAGGCATGGAAGTGGAAATTGCTGCTTGTGTTCGATAGTACTACTAATAATGCTCGAACAAAAATGGAATATTCCACGAGACCAAATCTCCCTTTTGAAAAGTGGAATCCACGTCTGGACTTGGTTTGGTGAACTAAATGGACCGTTAGGAAGGTTGGTTTTTTTTTTTTTTTTTCCTAAACAAGGATACAAGAAGAAAAGAGAAGCCCAAAACAGAGCAAAGCAAAAAAGGAACAAACACCTCACCCAGGAAGGTGAACCATGCCAATTTAATGAGCCTAATCGACTTTCACACAACAGGGGCCCACTGTGAGTTACTAGATTTTAATCAGGTCCATGATCAACAATAATATATTGGGTGGACCAGGTATTCACCCTCATTAGCATGCCAACCTGAAAATGTACTCTTATAATAAAATTAATTTTATTTATAAAAATTATTTTTAACAAATTGATATGATGTATTTTTATTAGATGGTGTATGTTCAATATTGTAAATTTTTATGATGAATTCTTGTAATTGTAGCACTTGACTGATGAAATTATTATTTATTTTTATCATAGAGGCCGTGTGTAGGGCCTGTAAGCTATTAAAATAAAGAATAACTTACATCCATGTCTTTTGAGGTTTGGGCAAATTATACCAGGTACATAGTTCAGTATTTATTACTTTAACTTCCTTTGAGATTTGACACGTGTGTTCAACGATACTCTCAATATTTTCTTTATAGCATACCTATTAACTAAATTTTATAAAATGAGAATTTTGGCATTCTCTTGTATTATAATATCAAGGCATTCCTATATTTTCACACTTAATATTACTTTTCATGCATAAGCAAACGTGTTTAGAGAAGGTCCAAAAAATAAGTGTGTAGTTTGTCCAAACATCAAGAAAGATTATATAATTCACATAATATATAAAATTACATTAAAGGAGTAAATCATCCGTTATTTCCAAATTGTATAATCAAAGAATGAATATGCGATGCAAAAGCAATATACAATATTGACATAAACATACAAATCAATAACTCTCTATACAGAGTCGTATTGTATTAGAATATATATATATATATATATAGATAGATAGATAGATAAGATGGTCTCTCCAAACATGTGATATGATTAATTTAAAAAGTAAAAATAAAATAACACAATTCAGTCGGCAAATTAGATGGGCAACTGCCCATCAACAGTTGCGTGACTACCGGTATAAACCTCTTTTTGTATGCCATGTTATTAAGCAAACGTTTCTGAAAATCTGAAAGGCTTAATTTTAAAAATAAAAATAAAATAACACGATTCAATTACCAAATTAGATGGACAATTGTTCAGTTGTGCGACTGTCGCTACAAACCTCTTTGTTTTTTTTTTGATAAGTCGCTACAAACCTTTTTTTTCTAAACCTTCGAAAGCAAAACTGTCCTGAACATAGATGTTGATGAAAATGACCTGACATCTTGAAAACGAGAGCAACATTTTCAAATTATGATAAGATCTACTCTTGTTTTAATCCTTAGAAAACCAACGAACTGAAGCTCCTTGTTTTGACTGAATTGGCCAAGTGCATAGGCTTGGATAATGTGGATTGGTTTTTTGGTTCCTATTATCAGAATCGTTTGCTTTAGAAATGTCAAAGTCAGTTACAAATTTGCATCTGTACCAAATCTCATCACTTAATCAGTAACCAATGGGGGACCATGTAAATACCAAATTAAATTAGTTGTCCAAAAATGATCAGAATAGTTGACCAAGGAAATGCTATCCGTAACTTGGCTGATCCAGTAATTAAATCTGTCGTTGAATGGACCAGAGACAATTCCAAGCCACCATTGTTGAAATTAAAAATCACCAACATTAACTCATCAAGAAGCTCATGAATTGCTCCACTGGATATAAGTAAGTCTATAGTTCCAAACTATTTGCTTTAACAACCAATCCACACATTGTGCACCTCTTCTCTTCAATGGCTTCCAAAACCCTTCTCTTCCTCTTATTCTCTCTCCTATTTCTTCACAATCTCCACTTCTCCGCCGCCCAAAATGCCGTTAAGCCGCCCAAAATGCCGTTAAGGCTGCTTACTGGTTTCCCGACAGTGGATTTGCTGCCTCTGGTATAGATTCCACTCTTTTCACTCATCTTTTTTGTGCATTTGCCAATCTTTCCAAAACCAATCAAGTCACAATTATTCCCGTCTCAAATACTGCCTCTTTCTCTCAATTCACCAAAACAGTCCAAATCAAAAATCCTTCTGTGAAAACCCTTTTATCTATAGGTGGAGGAGAGGCTGATGATGCCATTTTTGTTTCAATGGCTAGCCAACCCAATTCGCGTAAAACTTTCATCGATTCTTCAATAAAACTAGCTAGGGATTATGGGTTTCATGGCCTAGACCTTGATTGGGAGTACCCAGCAGTGGCCTCAGAAATGGCCAACCTAGGGAAGCTCCTTGATGAGTGGTGGTCTGCGGTGGCTACTGAGGCAAAAAACTCCGGAAAACCACCACTGCTTCTAACTGCAGCCGTATTTTATTCACCAAACTACTATGGATCGAATTATCCTGTTCAATCTGTAGCAAGGAGCTTGGATTGGATTAATGTAATGGCTTATGACTTCTATACTCCAGTTCCTGCATCTTCGCCTAAACAGACCAATGCACCTGCTGCACTATATAACCCTACAGGACAGTATAGCGGGGATAAAGGGATTGGGGCTTGGATTCAGGCTGGTGTGCCTGCTAAGAAGTTGGTGTTTGGTCTCCCATTTTACGGCCATGGATGGCGTCTTGTGAACCCTAATAACCATGGTCTTTTGGCACCAGCGAATGGACCCGCTGGTGAAGCAATGGGTTACAATCAGATCAAGTTGTTCATATCCCAGAACTGGGCCACAACTGTGTACAATGCCACCGTTGTTACAGATTATTGCTATGGCGGAACAACATGGATAGGGTATGACGATACACAGAGTATCTCCACTAAGGTTTCATATGCTAAACAGAAAGGATTGCTTGGTTACTTTGCATGGCATGTTGCAGCTGATAACAACTGGGCTCTTTCTAAACAAGGTTAGTTTCTCAATCTCCATCTACACCACTTACGAAATTTCAAGTTTAGCTAGCTAGCTGGTTCAAATGGAACTTAAATGAAAAGTTGGTATTTTTATAAATTAAGGTGCTTGTTTGCAATATATTTCTTAATTTTGTTGTGCTTCTAGTTCTTCACTGTTCTAATCTTATATTGGTTCTGTTGTTTTTGCAGCTAAAGGTACGTGGGGAGCATAAGAAACTCAATATATCCATAGGTGTGAGGATAATTAACTGCAATAAACAACTTATGGTGCAAAAGAGATTATATGTAACGACTATTATGGATTTTTAATAATATCAGCTCTTTGGTAAAACAAATTTTTATTTTATTTTTGTAAGTAGCTCACATACATTCTAAAAGAAAATAATCAACTTAATTAATACGTGAAGGTTTAGGAGCAGTGAACTACTTAGAAGCTATAACAAACATGCACATTTGGAACGAAGCAGAATTCATTTTAACAAACAATTCTTCACACTGTCTTCTTATTTGGACAGACATGCTGCTAACTTGAAGCTCTGCTTTCCTTCCTTTCCCTCTCCTACTCACCTCTACCCCCCCTACTTTCCCTTCTCCCATTCCTTTCTAAACAAACACTGTCAATCTTTATATTCTTCTTTATTGCAGCTTTTAAACAGTCCGGTAAATTTAATAACAAAAAATTGCACAGCCATTTAGGGGGGGAAAAAAGAAGAAGATAAATCCCACTTACCCCCCTTGAGGTTTGTTAGTATTCCACATAAACCTCCTTTATGTTTCATAATATCACACTTACCTCCCCTATAGTGCGTACTTTTACCATTTTCACTATATGATGTTTGGAAGGGCAAAATTGACCTTCTGGTCACTGACCGGGGAGATAAGTGGAATTACAGAGGAAGTAAGTGAAATTATAAAACATAGAGGGGTCTATGTGGGATATTTACAAACTTGAGGAAAGATAAATAACATTTATTCAAAATAAATTACTGTACATTGCACAGCCCTTAAGGCATGAAAACGGAACTTGGTTTTTTTGGAAAGGTAAAGTTAATTGTATTACTACGTAATAAAATAAGACTATACAAGACCAATTGAAACAAGGGTTGAGACAAGCCAAGGCCCAATGAATTTACAAAACAAATGGCACAAGCCCAGCTCATACTGAATGAAAGCAGTTGTGTGTCCAGTCCAATCTAAAAAATAGTCTGGATCCAAAATCACTACAGTATAATTTCTGAGGCCCAACATCACCATTGTGGATCCCAAAAAGACACTCTTGATGTTAAATTGATCCGTCGTCTAGCAGGAAAAAAACTTCCTTCCGCCCTTACACTGTGCAACGGGCGGATTCAATCATTTCGCATGTATAATACACACGTGGACACATGTATTACACGAACAATCCGAATAAAAAAAATTTATAGTCTATCAGTATCACAGGCTCTCAATTGACACAATATTTTGAA